GTGGTGTAGCCCTCCTTACCGTAGCCCTGTGTGCATTCTGCAGACTGTGCTCTTTATGAGTTCTCTACACCTCCTGTCTGCTGTTTGCTGGGAAATGCAATTTCTGAGTGGACGTGGGAAGAAGGTGGGGGAGGGGCCGTGTCCTGCCTGCACCTGCTGTGGCCACGCCCATTGTCTTCTGAGATTTCCTCCTGGACACAGGGAGGAAGTGTCTTTCTCCTTGTAATCAGGTGGGTGGGGCTGCTTTTTTTTTCATGAATCACAGCCCCTTTTGGCTTATAGTTGGAAGTTCTTCCAGGTTTTGACAACACATTTTTTATCAGTTATAACTTTTGATGGTGGTGTCTATTTTGTGCATCTCCATATTTATGTTAGTAAGGACTTGGGAAGGGTGGTATTAGAGATTGTCTCTCAGATGCCACTTAAAAACAAACCCCTTATGTAAAAAATAAATAAAGGCAGGTGATTTTTATTTTGTTTTTGGAAAGCTTTTCTCTTCTAACCAATATTGAATTATTTGTGTTGCAGGGAAAGGGACTTGGAGGCCAAGTTCATTATTCAGATGGAGAAAAGCAAAACAACCATCACCAACTTAAAGGCAAGTAGTGACCTGGCCTTGCTCCAGTTCCCAGGGCCTCCATTTGGTATCCTGTGGGGAGACTGGTGGGTGAACAAAGCGAATCTGCTGTTTTGAGTCCCTCCTCTAGTGCAGCCGACACACCAGCATGCTCCTGGCCTGGGCTCAGGCCTGAGGAGGAAGAGTGATCTCCAGTCTCCACTCCCATCCCTGGTTTTATTCCATCTGGAAGGAGACCCTCAGCATTTTCATCCTGAGTCCTTGTGGTGGAGCATTTGCTGGAAATTGACTCCTTTCTGTGAATTTAAATAAACTTCGGGCCTAGATTTGTTTCCATTTTTAATTCAAATCATCATGTTTGTAATCCTAAAAAAGAGCTGATATTGTTCAAAAATCCACAGGTAAAAAATTAAAGTAAGCAATTCTCTTTCCTGGGGAAAAAAATGGGAAAAAATATTCTTTTCCAGAGTGGCAAGCTCTTCCTTCCTTTGCACTTAAGGTACCCTGCTTGTGGCTGAGGGCAGTGGCTAATGCCTGTAATCCTATCACTCTGGTTGATGTTTTAAGGTTTAAGGAAGTTGCTTAAGGTCAGGAGTTCAAGACCAACCTGAACAAGAGGGAAACCCTATCTCTACCAAAAATTAGAAAAACTAGCCAGGTGTGGTGGTGCACACTTGCAGTCCCAGCTATGTGGGGGCAGAGATGGGAGGATCCCTTACACTCAGGAGTCTGAGGGTACAGATAGCTGTGATGGTGCCACTGTACTCTGCTCCCAGGGCCACCGAGTAGAACTCTCCGTCAAAGAAAAGAAGTCTTATGTGTTTCTTTGGTCAATGAATTTGTTCAGGATCCTGAATACTTTTCACTTACTAGGTAAACAAGGGTATAAAATTAATACCAAAGAAATCACCTGATGGGTGGGTTCAGCAGTTTAACTTTGGGTTTCTGAGGCCTGCTGCTCCTGAGTCAAGTACAGCTCTGGCTCCTATTCATGTCCGAGGAACAGATTTCTATTAATTTTTGCCTGAAGAGACAGGACACTTTGAGGTCCAATTTCAAAGTAGTGCAAGTTGCTCTGTAGCAATAGAAGCTGGGGAACGCTCCTATCTTCCAGCTGGGCAGTGCTGGGGATCATTTGGTAGGCCTCCTTTGGGGCTCTGGTGTCCCCTTACCTGACGCATTCTTCCTGGAATGTTTCCTCTGCGTAGCACGGTCCTGTGCATCGGTGCTGCCTGCTGGCCTGCACTGAGCTCTCTGTCCTCCGGCTCCTGCATCTTCCCTCATTTCCACCAGTCACCACTCGTGCGTTCCCTGCTGGGGGGGGGTCACCTTTTCTTTGCTTCATGCATCTCTCATGCTCACAGCGCTTTTGTAAAGCCCCCTGGCCTTGAGTGGCCTCCTTTCTTTGTACACTGTGGCATTTATTTTCCTCAGTTACACTGTTGCTCTTTGGTATTTTTTACCTGATGTTTGAGCAACCAGAACAGACGCCTAGATTTTTGGTGTTTCAGTGAGTATTGTAACAATATTTCTTTAGAATAGGTGAATCATGTTGGAAAATGTGGTGCTCATTGAAAGCTATTCGGCATATTTCCAAGGAACTATTTGGGGCTTTGTGGGAATGTGAAGATTTTTCATTTTTTTGAGACAGAGTCTCACTTTGTCACCCTTGGTTGGCTGCCGTGGTGTCACAGCTCACAGCAACCTCAAACTTTTAGGCTTAAGTGATTCTCTTGCCTCAGCCTCCCTAGTAGCTGGGACTACAGGCGCTCACCACAATGCCCCAGTTACTTTTTTTTTTTTTTGGTTGAAGTTGTCATTGTCCTTTTAGCAGGCCTGGGTGGGGCTCGAACCTGCCAGCTTTGGTGTATGTGGCTGGCGCCCTACTCACCGAGCTACAGGTGCCAAGCCAAATGTGAAGATTTTTAAACAAGGCTTTTTATGTTCACTTTAAGCATATAGCAAGGTAGACAAGATCTATGCAAACATCTGGAGTAAGTTCACGCTATGATGTGTCCTAGGAGTCTAGGTTGTTGGAGGTGGGAGAAACTACTTTTGCACAGAGTGCTGGAGGGAAGAAGCATCATGAAAGAGGACCTGGAGTTTTCAAAGGGTGCACCAGATCTCTGGGAGGGGCTGGTGGCATTGTGATACAGGTGAATAGCACCCCCTGGAGTCGTGCAGAGTCCAGCTCTGGAGGACTTGAGGAGGAGGAAACAGTAAATAAAAATAATTGAACCTGGAAAAACAGAGTCTAGCTGGAGCATTGAGCTCTTAGAAATTGACAGTGATGAAAAAAGGCCAGAATAGTACTCCTGGGTCACAGGTCAGAGAACTTTGATTGTTGGAAGGAGTTTAGGTAGTATTTAGGTTTTATTTATTTAGTTTTTTATGGAAGCTAGAAAGAATTAGGTGCTTTTTATCTAGGGTATAAATATGGAAAGTAGTGATCATTTAATTTAATATTTCTTAGGAGGAAAGATTTCTTATTTCCCTATTCGGGTTACGTGTCAAATGGCAGTGCTCTTTATATTGCTATTATTCTGTGTACTGTATTTTGTTACTATTATAATAATCATCTCTTTCTAGATACCAGAAGGAGGAACTGGGGACTCAGGAAGAGAACGAACCAAGACATTCACCTATGACTTTTCTTTTTATTCTGCTGATACCAAAAGTCCAGATTATGTTTCACAAGAAATGGTATGACATGATATTTTCAAAATATTTTGATTTATTTTCATATTGAAAAAAACATGCCCATCCTAAAATACCTTAAAAGATCTTGCTAATTTTTCCTGAATACATATATAAAATCGCTTTTGGTAACTTGGCCTTTTGATTATTATATAGGATCATTTATTTAAGCCTGAGAAGAATTCAGTTCTTTAAAGGTTGATTTTTCTTTTTCACCTCTGAGCATGATGATTGTAACTTTTAATTTTTGTTGAAACTTGGACATGGCTCCTGTTTTGAAGGGGCTCTATAAACAGTGGATTTTGGGGGGAACATTGACATGCTGCTAACCCTGGTAAATAAGCTGCTTAACCCTGAGTCACACTGAAGTGTGGAATTTTGGGAGATAGGCTTCAAACTCGAGTTATTTCCCCTACTTGTGTGGTTCATTGTAGGTTCTCAAAAGGATTCTAGAAAGAATGTTTCATCTAGAATCTTTCTAGAATGTAGAATGATCTGGAATTTGTCCAAGAAACCTGCCTTCGTGGCTGTTAAGGGTGAAAATGTAGATGGGAAGTGAACAGGCACAAAGGGCGGCACCTGTGGCTCAGTGAGTAGGGTGCCGACCCCATATACCGAGGTGGCAGGTTCAAACCTGGCCCCGGCCAAACTGCAACAAAAAAATAGCTGGGTGTTGTGTGGGCGCCTGTAGTCTCAGCTACTTGGGAGGCTGAGGCAAGAAAATCACCTGAGCGTAAGAGCTGGAGGTTGCTGTGAGCTGTGACGCTACAACACTCTACTGAGGGGGATAAAGTGAGACACTCTCTCTAAAAAAAAAGAACAGTGGTATTGGCACTTGATGTGAGCAAAAGGACAGGCGTATTTCCCTGGGTGAGGCAAAGCTGGGTGTTGAGCACAGTGGGATCATGAGGGAGCATTAGGATGGGTGGAAAAGCTCAGGCTTCTTTGCTGGGATTCTTCCTGGCTTGTCAACGGCTTCTTTAGATACATTGCTTCCGGTCTCCAAGTGTTAAAGTGGGGATAAGGTTTCCTGTCCGTCCTGCCTGCCCTGGGTTGTGATATGTGCAGTGCCACCATGAAAAGCAGAGCATGGAAACAGTATTAGTTCCCTGCAGCTGGCAGTGTCCATGCACCGGAATCACTGGCGTTGTCTGAGACCCCATGAGAAATGTGGGCTCTCAGGCCCTAGTTCACAGCCTGCTCACTCAGATTTTCAGTGTTTAGCAAGATCCCCAGTGATTCACATGAACCTTATGATAGAGCAATGTAGATGGTCCAGAACTAGTTTGTGGAGGAGATTGGCTTTCTGAGGAAATGTAAATGTTGGAGTTAGGGACTAGAGTGGCCGAATCTAGAAGATTTGGGGGCCAATATGAGAGAAAAGCAGGAGCCAGACGCAGTGGCCCAGGGTCCCAGCTGCAGGGAGGCTGCAGTAGGAGGGTCACTGGAGCCCTGAAGTTCCAGACCAGCCTGGGCAACGTAATAAAAAATGACAACAACAAAAAACCAGGGAGAAATAGAAAGGGGCAGCAGTGATGGGAACAGGAGCCATTCAGAGAGAGGAGACGGGTGTGAAGGTGGCCAGAAGAGGAGAGGTGCGCTGGGATTGCCTGGGTTCGTGGAGGTGCCAGAAATAAATCTACTTGGTGTCCTCTTTCAGTCCTCACAAGAACCAAATTAGCTCCGTTTTTCTTTTTTGAAACTTTATTATTTCATTTTAATTTCAGACTTTCAGTCTGCATGTTTTGGTGACATGGATTGCTTTTGTTCTGCTTGAGCATAAGTTATATTTTCTTTGTCAAAGAGATTCAGTAAGCTTAAGGAATTTGCTCATGTTGTTCGTAGACCTAATTGACCTTTAACAGTAGCAGAGTTGAGCCCTGGGGCTGTTGCACAGGGCAGTGCAGATGCCACTGGGTCTTAAGGATGTAGGAGAAAGGTGTGGTATGTTCTAGAGGACAGGGGGGTAGGGCAGCCCTGTTGAATGAATAAATGAAAGAGTGAGTGAGTGAAGATGACCTTGGTGTCAAGACGATTGGATTAGTCAACACTGGTAACTAGTAGTCTGGTGAGGAATAAAAATTGTTATAGATACTAGAATCCACGTTTTGGTATGGAGAAGGAAGTGGCAGGTATGAAGGAATTTGTTAAGGTTAAAACCAGTTCACTGTAGTGATCTCCTGAGTGTCTTCTACAGAGGATGAATGGAAAGCCTCCCGGGGCTTCCCTTCTTATTTATCTCATGAGCTGCTCGACTGTCTCCTTATTTAACTGGAATTCTAAATCTTCTGTAGACAGAGGCTGTGCTAAGAGAAAGCTGAGGGTTGGAGAAGAGGGTGTTGCCTGACAGCAGGGCTGGCACACTGGAGATGCTCGGTAAATGTTTGCTGACCTAATGAACGTGGTTAGGGTGGCGGTTAACTGACGGGACAGGAGACGTTTCCGGGTTCCGCAGGAATCAAGATCAGGGAAGCAGTAACAGATTTAGTTCTTTGTAAGTTAAAAATAGATGTCCAGAGTATAAAAATAAAATGAAAAAGCTTTCAGCCAGCAAGAATAACTTCAATGCTTTAGATGTATGTGCAACATTTCTGCTCAGATGCTTTTGGGGCTTTAACTCCACATGAATAACCTGAGTGTTACATTAAATTACGAAACTAGAAGAGCTGGGAGATACGTTAGTAAACACTACTGTCTTGTTAAACCATGTAAATACTCTGAATAAGAGAATACGCTGTTACAAAAAAGGCTTCAGGGTGGTCCCTGCGGCTCAGTGAGTAGGGCGCCAGCCCCATATACTGAGGGTGGTGGGTTCAAACCCAGCCCCGGCCAAACTGCAAAACAAAAAAATAGCCGAGTGTTGTGGCAGGTACCTGTAGTCCCAGCTACTCAGGAGGCTGAGGCAAGAGAGTCACCTAAGCCCAGGAATTGAGGTTGCTGTGAGCTGTGATGCTACAGCACTCTATAAAGGGTGATAAAGTGAGACTCTGTCTCAAAAAAAACCCCAGAAACTTCAGTTCTGAGAGTTCTGAGTATGGACAGAGGTTTTCATGCTGCTGTTTCAGGCCTGGGGAGGGCGCCGACAGGTGCTATAAAGGGGAGCATGGCAGGTGGCATGATGCTGGCCCTCTTTTTTTTTTTTTTTTTTTAAATTTTTAAAATCATTTTAATGTAAAGGCATATTGAGAAAATAGATTGTGCCTATTACTGTAGTTCAAGTCGGGTTTCCCTTAATGTTAAATAAATATCAGGTAAGATGACCATTAATGTTTCTTCCTTCCAAATTAATTTTTAGAATTAGAAAAAAATATCAATGAGCAATTTAAATCCACAGTCATGTAAATTAAAGACCATTAAATAAGGTCTAATTTTCTTAATGGCTATTGGAAGCCCCAAAGGGAGGCTTTGATCTCACATAACTAGTTCCCTAATTCAACCCTGGAGAAACTGGAAACCTAACATCTCCCACTTGGCAAGCTAGATGGGAGAGTCTTTGTTTTAACGGTGCCCTCTTGTGGGCAGTTTCTTCTCAGGTGAATGCCCTGAATTACTCTGGCAATCAGCTTTAGAATCTGTGCTGACAAGCAGCGAGGTAGATTTCGGGTCATCAGGCCAGGTGAGGGAGCTCAGTGGGTTCTGCTGCCCCTGCAGGCCGTCAGCCTTTCGAAGCAGGCCTTCCCTTCCCACCTTGGCCTGTGAGCTTTCACGACCTGATTTCCTTGCCAAGTCCCCTGGAGGTGCGGGCAGTGTCTGCTGCTTTTGTGGGTCCCAGGCCTGACCTGGGTGGGTTTCTTGAAGCTGAGACTGAGTCAGGTGTGTGTCTGTGCCCCCCTATCCCCCCAGGCCTGCATTGTCCAGTTCTGTTGGAGTCATGTCCCTCCACCCCAGCAGCCCGGGGCCCCTTGAGTCTGTCAGAAAACTTCCTAAGCCAACTTTCTGGACAATAAAGTAATAGTCAAATGGGAGGTGCAGATTTTAGCTCTTGAGAAGAATTCTGAAAACCTTTGGGTTTTGTTTTTACATAGTGTTTTAGCTAGAGATCAAAGTATGAGAAAAGATCCTTTTATCCTTTGAGAAATTTATAGAAAGGTTTTTTTCTCTGTCCAGTGAACTCATAAAAATGATATTTGCCTTTTGTGTTTTATTTAATCTGAGAGAATTGGAGAAATACTTAGAATTTTTACTCACTTTGTGTATACAGTGCTGAATTAAACCTTGGCCTGGTGGGCTGGAGTCCTGAGAGTTTGGGATTCCTTATTCTGCTTCTTGTTAGAAGTTTGGGAGGTGGGACTGGGGCCAAGCCTTGTTGTGGCAGGTGTGGGAAGAGGGTGGTGATGAGAAAGGTGGTGGCTAGCAGCCCTGCTTGCCTGCAGTGTCTGTGAGGACCGGTGCACAGACGCAGGAGGGGGAGAGAGTGAGCCCAGTGAGCGTGAGCTCCCATCATAGTTGAGAATAGGATCAGAAACTATCTGCTCCTGAAGCTGAAATGGTTAATTAAAAATTAACTCAGATTGAATGAGTCTGGCTGTTTTGGGAAGTGACTCAGTTGAAATGATAGTTTGTAAATCTTTTACAAGGCCATGCACGGTAGAGCCCAAGGCAAACTGAAGTCCGGTAGTTCGTATTTTTATCTTGTCCTTGGATGACAGACTGACTTAGCAGCAGGAGTGCTTTATGTGGAGCTGAGATAGAGATGGCTCTAAGTTTATCGGGTCTATCAAGAGTGTGGGTGTTCCTGCCAGGGACCCAGATCCCTGAAGGGGAGAGAGTTGTCCCCACACATTCCCTCTGGTTTGGGTCACATTCCACCCTGCTAGGAATTTGGCTGTCCCTGCAGAATCCCTGGGACTCCTGGGATCTCATGTGTGCTCACGCGAGAGTGCTCTAGGCCGCCTCTCAAGTTTTGCTATACTCTGAAATTGCATGGGGAGTTTGGACAGTAGTAATTGCTGGGTTCTTACCCCCTCAGATTCATTTTGATTGGGCTGGCTTGCCAGCTTGGCCATTGGACTTTTCATTGTGATTCTAATGTATGGTGAAGTGTGAGGCCTGCTGGTCTCTGTGGTTTGCAGGAGTTGGAGATGACTTTCTGGTTGATCCATCTGGGTCTTTTGAGTTTGGGTAGAGTGGAATCCCTCACAGATGGAATGCTTCTGTGTGGTTGGTGGGGCCCCTCTCCTGGACTGTGGTGACTCCACCAAAGAGCCCTTCAGCTGCTGATGTGCCCACTTTGTAAAGCAGGGCGATGTTTTATGTGCCTTTAGTGTGCTGGGCCGAGGGCCCAGGTGGCAGGAGAGCTTTGGCTCGTCCTTTCCCAGCTGGGTAGAACTAGGACAACCTTGCCTCTCATTTTGCCTCATTTACAGTTGTACAGGGGAAGCATTTGTGGCATTCACTGCTCAAGTGGACGTTGTGTGTACCTCGGACATGGACTCAGGCCTTTGTAGGTGTGCCCCCCAGCCCCACACAGCTTGCCCCCACCCCGCCTTCTCCTGTCTGGACAATGACAAGGGGGACCCCAGCCCTCCCAGCCTCGTCCACACCCACCTATCACTCAGCTCTGGCAAAACCTATAGAGGTTTACTTTGACCCTATAGGGTCAAATAGCTGGACCCTTACAAGGATGGCAGCGATTAGGCTTGGTTTGGGCAATAATTTCTGGCTGCTGTGACCTTTAGATTTTGCATACTTAGTTTCTGGAAGCTCTGATAGAATGAGCTTTAAAAGTTTATATAATGCTGAATAGTAAATCGTCATGCTTGAAAATCATCTTTGCTTCTAGATATGATTGTCACTTTACCTTGTTTACATTTTTATATTTCAGGATTTTTTTTTTTTTGTAAACTTACATAGAAAGAAGATGCTCTTTGCTTGCTAAAATTTATTTTTGATCAAAAACTGGGGTACAGACATATTCTGTTTTTAATGGTTCTGTGGTGATTTATTTATATGGTGTAATCCTTAAGAGCAAAAAGTCACATTCAAGAATATCGTCAACACTGAAGGGTCTTTTATTAAAATCCGTGGTAATTGTATCTGTTGTGTGTTTTTTTGGCTTTCAGGTTTTCAGAACCCTTGGCACGGATGTTGTGAAATCTGCCTTTGAAGGTTACAACGCTTGTGTCTTTGCGTATGGACAGACTGGATCTGGGAAGTCCTACACGATGATGGGGGATGCCGTACGTTGTTCACGCTGTGGGAAGGCAGCGCCTCCTTATCTTTTTCTGCACCCACAGAATTATCGCTTTTATCTACTTGGGCTGTGCTAACTTGCTTTTTGTGTTCCTGATCATTCTTTAGTAATGAGATAAAACTCAGTAATAAGCTAGACTAAATTTCCTTTGAGAGATTTTAAATTAGAAGTAGTTTTAAGTTTATAAGCATGAATAATGGATGCAAGTCCCAGTTCATTTTCTGTTTTTAAAGGCCTTGTAATCTTATCAAGAAAGTATGTTAGGCCCATAAGTAATTTATTCTTCTTTTCTGCCAGCGCAACAGTTTGAATAAAATTACTGAAGTCTGTTCTTTTTAAAATTATTCAAAACATTTTTTTGCCAAGAAAAATGTAAGAAAAAAATCTAACTCTTTGTTCAAAGGGTACTATATGAATCCTGCAAATATCAAAAAAAAGTTATATAGTTTAGTTATAAGTGTAGTGTGTTCTGAGAAATGTGCCTAGGTGAAAAAAATAATGATAAAAAACATTGTATGTACGGTTTAGTAGTTAAGCTATGTAAATTAACAGACATTAATGTTATACTTGCCCCAAAACATGGAAGATTAAAAACTAGACATTATTAGAGGAACTTTGTCTCTTCTGTATTTTTTCCAGATTTAGATCATGTAGTGTGTTTTATTTTTCTTATGTTGTAGTGACTGTTCTGTCCAGCTTCTGCCAAGCTTGTGGCCTGTTCTGGAGGTGGAGATACTAGTAGAGGCCCGAGGGCTTCTGCCATCAGGCACAGAGGTGTCTTTTATGCTGAAAGTTTTGTGTTTCATAGAGTAGTGTCTTAGAGAACGGGTCTTTCCAGATGAGATTATTTCAGTGCATGCAACTTCACTTAAGCCCAGGCTTTTCCTTTATGTGAGAAGTCGACAAATGCTTTCCTGTGAGTCCTCAATGCCGAAAAGCAGAGAACAAACAGATAGTTTTCTAAGAGTTTTATATTTCTTTTTATCATGACTTCTTTCTTCCTACTTTCCTACAGTGGCTTTGGAGGATGAAAAAACACCTCAAAATCTCTAAAAATGAAATTTGCATGTTGATTCCTTGGTAGTTGTTTAATTTTTTTTTTTAATTGAAATAGAGCCTCAAGCTGTCACCCTGGGTAGAGTGGTGTGGCATCACAGCTCACAGCAACCTTCAGCTCTTGGGCTTAAGCGATTCTCTTGACTCAGCCTCCCAAGTAGCTGGGACTACAGGCGCCTGCCACAACTCCTGGCTATTTTTTGGTTGTAGCTGTCATTGTTGTTTGGCAGGCCCGGGCTGGATTTGAACCCGCCAGCTCTGGTGTATATTGCTGGCACCTTAGCTGCTTGACCTACAGGTGCCAAGCCCCTAGTAGTTATTTAATGTAAGTTAAATATTTATAAAGCACTAATAAATTACAAGTGTTTTTCTAGGACCTTACAGTTGAGTATTGCTTGGGTATTCTATCTATCTATCTTAAAGTTGGGACCAAAAACATGGTGAAAGTCTCATTTTTCCTTGATAAGAATTGGTACTGATTTAATGAAACAAAGTGAAATATCTCTTATAGTAGTGATGGCCTTTCTTTTATTTTGTGAGCCGGGGTTGGGTGGATGTAGGGGAGACTTGAGGATAAATCATCGAGGCTCCGGTTTGGCTTCCTGTTCTTGTTAGAATGGTTTTGTCTGATCTTTAGTATCATTCTGAGGTTCATCAGCTTGTTAATGTTGATTGAAACGTGAATATTATTGAATATTGTACCCGCGTTGTGTAAGTGCTGTGGTATATAAAAATCTTTCTATGTAGGAAGGCCAGTGTGAGGATTACTATATTAAAGGAGGGTCGTAGTGTGAGTTTTAATGTGGCCTTACCACCTAAACGTCACTAACTCCTGTGAGGACTTACTAAGATTTTTTGGTGATTTTTCTCTGCTGGGTGTGTTTTATCTTCTTAGGTCATTTTACCAGATACCTAACATTTTATCCTGCAGTTGTAGAGTATCTTGTTTGAAAGTTAGAGAATGAGTCTTCTCCCTGATTTAATGGATTAATAATTATAACCATGTATTACTAAAGTCCCAGCTTGCAGAAGTCAAGAGGGCTACGCCTTCTCATTCCCAGAGTAGGAGGCAGTCCAGGCAGGTAATGGTGTCTGGAGTCCCAGTTGGCAGGGAGGGGTTTGTGTGGAGGAAATGGCACATTCAGTCATCAGTTGCTCTTACTTCAAATGATAGCTGTGACCTTCTTCTTTCCCATTACAGGGTGACTGTGGCTTAATACCTCGGATCTGTGAAGGGCTCTTCAGTCGGATAAATGAAACCACCAGATGGGATGAAGCATCTTTTCGAACTGAAGTCAGGTAGGGCTGGTGGCCCGAGGTAAGGGTGCGTGGCTTGCTTTTAGGCACTAGGAATGGATAAGCCCTTTAGATTCCTAAAGAAAAGATCTGCCCCCTTCCCCTCCTGGACTTGTTATGGTAGCTGGGAAAAAAGCTCACTGCTGAGGTAATGATTTTCTGTGAAAGTTTTCAATGGCTTCCACGGGGACAGTTTGGACAAGGATTTGGGAGGCTGGTAGAAACCACACAGCTTGGTTGAGAACTAACGCAGGATGTTCATCTTGAAGGAAGTCGACTTTTGGCTTTTCAGTGTTGGCCCAATGCCCTTCCTCATTCTTTAGCTTAGTAAGGTCTATAGCATCCTTTACGTCGATAGGGTCACTATAAATCTAATCTATAAATAAATATGAATTGTCGAGGTGCTTTTTCTTCCTTGAAATTAAACCTATGTTGAGAGCCAAGTTTCTTTAGTAGTTTTGAAGGTAGAAGTGGCAATTTAGGTTTCTCCCGGATGCTTCTGCTGTGTGGCCTTGGATAAGTGTTTAAAACACCTTGAACCTCCCTTGCCTAACCCAAAACTGGGGACAGTAGTGGTACCTACCTTTGGGCTCTTGGAGGGACTCAGTGAAATAAACCACATCAAGTGCTTTGCATTGTAAGTAAGAGCTGTCTCTGTGACATCCCAGAGTAGGTCCCTGGAACCTGCTATTTTAAGTGAAATGTTGTATGGTGAGACCAGTTAGTTCCTCATCATTATACTGTGACAACATTGAAAAGAATGTTATCTGAGGACCTGCCGTACTTCATTTTGCTTAGAATCCCACTTTCCAAGACCTGCCAGTGACACCAAGTGAGGACTTACTGTCCCTGATATGTGGTCACCACCCATAGACAGATGTTGCTGCTGTGTGGTGTTACTGTTGCTAATGTCTGAAATAATTTTTCTGAATTCAATTTTATTTAAAATTTTTAGCTACTTAGAAATTTATAATGAACGCGTGAGAGATCTCCTTAGGCGGAAGTCGTCTAAAACCTTCAACTTACGAGTCCGTGAGCATCCCAAGGAAGGACCGTATGTGGAGGGTAAGCCTGAGCAAAGAGTAACACTGGCAAAGAAGAAAGGTAGCGGGAGATTTAAAACATTGTTTAGTTTTAGTAACAAAAGGTCAGGGGCTTTTACTCCACAGTGGCATTTGGTGAATTCATACTGTGTTGGGCATTGCCTGCTCCTGTGGAGCTCACCAGTGCATGTCCTCTGGCTTTAAGAAGTCTCTGGAGATTGATTTCTCTAATGTTCTCAACAAGGTCAACAGGCCTATAGCTTGTCTCTTTAAACAGCTTTGCCTTTCAGCAGTATATCTTTACTGATCATGATGATAATATGTGATAGTAAAGATACTCTTAAGAATGCTTATCTGTTAAAAGGAGCAATTATAGGATTTCCTTTCTGTGTTATGATATGCTAGTTGTGGCACAGTCATTTATGAGGAATGCCACAAGTAATGATGGGTAAAGGACTGGACCTTGCTAATTATTATAGCGGGCATTTCAAATAAGTGGCTTGTACAGAAAGCAAAAGAATAGACTGGACTTAGGGCTGTCTCTGTCAGGCAGCTGTCTTCACTGTCATGAGGTCACTCGTGCTGGGTGTCCTGTAGAACTCACACAGAGGGATGGCTTTCATGTCCTTCACATCACATGTGTCTCTTGGAGGCAAGGACTATGAACTGGTCATGGGTTTAAAGACTATGAACTGGTCCTGGGTTTGAAGACTGTGAACTGGTCCTGAGTTTAAAGACTGTGAACTGGTCCTGGGTTTAAAGTTATTTCTGGTTTGGATTGTCTGGTGTACTGGTTGGACCTCATCTGTATTTTATTAAATTTCAATATGAACTTTTGCCTTCTATACCTAAAGCAAGGAGTGCCATTATGTAGTTGTTTCATAGAATAGCTATTACTGTTAATAAACCCTTAAGGGAATGGGCACACTAAAAATCCAGACTTCACCACTATTCAGTATATACATGTAACAAAATAAAAAATTGATAAATTAGCCACTATGTACCCTTTTAATATGTGTAATTGTTATTTGTCAATTAAAGATATATTAAAAAATAGGTTAGAATAACTCATCTCTTCAGGCTTTCCCTTTAATAGTCTTGTCAAGTGTTAAGACATATAAAGCTGGTGTATGAAGAGACACAGCGATAAGTGGGGTAAAACGTCCAGAATCTGACCTTGATATGTATGCAGGTTAGTTTCTAATTCAAACATTGGAGGAATTGTTGGAAGGATTATTAAGCCATCTGGGAGGACAAAAAGGAACTTGGTACCATAGCTCAATATGTGTACCAGGATAAATGGCAAATGGATCACAGGTTTAGGCATAACATACAGATAAATTAAAGAAACCCTTGGTTAATTTTTTTTTTCCAAAAACTTGGAGGAGGGAAGGCTTTTTAAGGCTTGAAGTTCAGAAACCACAAAATAAAGGATGTTAAATTTGAAAGGGTAAAAAATATAAATATCTAAAGTTTTATGCTTGGTAGAAACATTGTAAGAAAAGTAAAAAATCTTATGAAACAGGGAAGATATTTTCAGTTCAAGTTTTGAAGGACTTATTTCCCTAATATATAAAGAACACCTATAAATCATTCAGTGTAGATCCAACAAACAGTAGAAAAATGGACAAAGAATGTGAGTAGGTTGTTCACAGAAATGGAAATACAGATGATTTTTAGGTGGAGGAAGGAAAGCTCAGCCTCACTCATAATAAGAGAAAAATAAGATAAAAATACTTGGAGATGACACTTGCCACCCATCTTAGGCAGATGTAAATGGTCTGATAGGGCATTGTCGGGAGGGTGCTGGGAGATAAGTGCTCTCAAACATTATTACTGCTGCGTGCAGATTCCCTCTGGGCAGGACACTGTTGGAATAGCTGTCAAAATTTAGAATGACCATTAGCCTAGTGATTCCACCTCTAAGAATTTATTCTTCGGAAACATTCACATGCATTTGAAAAGACCTACGTACAAGATTATTTGTAGCAGAATTACTTGTAATTGGAAGTAAAATGTAAACAACCTCCATAGTCTCATTAGGACTCTGGTGAAGTTGGTTATGGTACAAATGTATGATCAAATGCTCTGCAGCCTTAAAAACGAACAAGTAATCACCTTAACTGTCAGAGAATGTTCTTCCATAAAAAGAAGGATGTAAAATAATGTTTATGATATGCTACTAATTGTATGAAAGGGAGAACAAAGATGATTGTATGTAAATGTAATTGCTTATATCTGCATGGGTCTTTCTAGAAGAAGACCCAAATGTAACATTTGGTTACCTGACAGAAGGGGAGGTGGGGGCCTCTAGGGCAGGGATTAGGAACCCTTCACTCAAGCATTACTTTTGAAGCCTTTATTTTTTGGAGTGTATGGTTCCCCCCCCCCCAAAATATTCAAAAAATGCTTTTGGGTTTTGCATGAAGGTAGCACATTTACATTTTTCTTCTTTGTGCTATGACTGATACTAATGAGGTTGGTGATAAGAGCTACATTTATCCCAAATACCTTTGTGATAGGGACACAGCATCAGGTGAGGCAACCAGAACATAGTGAGCCTGCGCAGCTTGTCCCTAACTGTGTAAGTCTGTGGCTAGTCAGTAGCAGAGCTGGGATGTGATCCCAGCAGCCCAGCTCCCAGGTTGCACCACCACGTGGAGAGGCCAGCGAGCTCATTACACAGACTGGCCGATTTGTAGAGTTGTGTATTATTTCATAGTGAGCAATTTCATGTTCTGTTTACTATATTAGGGAGACTTTTTCATCTTCTCTATTTTTTTTTTTTCAGATTTATCCAAACATTTAGTACAGAATTATGGTGACGTGGAAGAACTCATGGATGCAGGAAATATCAATCGTACCACGGCAGCAACTGGGATGAATGATGTCAGTAGCAGGTCTCATGCCATCTTCACCATCAAGTTCACTCAGGTAGGGCAGCTGCGATGCCAGCTGGCTCTGTCCCTACGGTCTTTGCTTGCTGATTAGCACCAGCTGAGGACTGGTTGGACCAGGAGCAGCAGCAGGTGAAGGTGACTGCCTGTCACTGTCTTGTTAATTAAAGATGAACACGGGCTGCTCGCTGAGCTTCTCTGATGATACTCACAGGGATTGGGAGTGTCCTGATGTGTGTACCCTTAAGAAATATTTAGCAGACTTTCTACACAAGTCTAGACATGGAAAAAAACTTGCTCTGGGCTTAATTAAGCAAAAGTTTTCATTGTTGCAAACTCTGTGGTAGATAGTGGATTGTGAGTGAGGCGGCTTGGTGAGTGACTCAGTGCCGCCCATTATCGCTCCATGGTGCTCGCCGCACAGTGCTGAGCGTGATCATCCGCATGAGGTTAAAGGACGTGAGAATTCATTAGGATCAAGAGGTGGGGAGCATCTTGAATATGTGTAGAAACTGTTGAGGGTAAACATTTTAACACCGAGGTCAGTAGAACAGATGAATGTGAAAATGTCAGGTCTTCTCAGGGCTCACGTGTGTGCTGGGAGCTTGGACGCGTCCTCGCTGGCAGTGAAAGGAGAGCACAGGAGACACAACAAGGCAGCATTTCAGGAATGAGGGATCAGAAATCCAGAAAATAGGAACAGCCTCTGAGGTCAATCAGAACAACTCCCTTCAAATTCTCCATGTCTTCACCTTTTATTAGATCCTTGCTTTTGATTTATTGCAGTTTATTGGATTTTCTGCTGCTTGGTTAATGCTTAATTAGGATATAGACCATCTGTAGTTTCTAAGAGGTTTACATTTATATCAAAATATGATAATTTGGGGGGCATTGTGGTTCAAGACTTAAATGAGGTTGTATCTTTTGGGAAAATAAAATTTTGGTAGAGTTGAGAAACAAGGACTATGGTAGTTAAGATTTCACAATTTTTATAATTTGGGGAACAAGATGTTTCAACATTGAGTAGTGGTTGAATGATCTTTTATGTACTTGTTTGCATTTCTCATGTTTTGGAGAGCCTTTGCATTGGGAATGCTAGAGATTCCAGATGAGAAGAAATGTAATTATTTGTTTACTTCACATTATTCTCTGTTGAGTGCCCCTCAGTCCCCAGTTTCTTGTTCTGCCACCGTCTGCTTCAGAGGGCTTTGTTGAGAATGACTGAGTGATGTGTGTAATGGACTATTTCTTCAGAAAGGTTAAGAATCATATGTGGTAGACATCTGTTATATTGAATTTAATTTTGAAAGCTTTATAATCAGTATGAAGGTCAACAATACAGCGAAATAGAAAAAAAAAATCTGCTCTGAGACATCTCAGTGAGGAGTGGAAACTAATTAGAATTTGTACCATAAATAACATCAGGGTCCTTTACACTTCTTCAATTTTATATTTTCTACCACAGGCAAAATTTGATTCTGAAATGCCATGTGAAACTGTGAGTAAGATCCACTTAGTCGATCTTGCTGGAAGTGAGCGCGCAGATGCCACTGGAGCCACCGGGGTTCGGCTTAAGGAAGGGGGGAACATTAACAAGTCCCTCGTGACTCTGGGGAACGTCATTTCCTCCCTAGGTAGGTTTAGACTCGCCTCTTGCCTCTTTTTCCTGGTGGTACTGTATTAACACGAAGCAGTTATGTTTAATGTCTGTGTTGCAAACTGAGGTAATATCCTCAAGGTTTTCTGAAGCAAAATTAGAAGGAAAAAGGAGCTTTGCTAATTGTCTTTCCCTCTGTTTCTCTTTCTCCCTGCAGCTGATTTATCTCAGGATGCAGCAAATCCTCTTGTAAAGAAGAAGCAAGTTTTTGTGCCTTACAGGGATTCTGTTTTGACTTGGTTGTTAAAAGATAGCCTTGGAGGAAACTCTAAAACTATCATGATCGCCAGTAAGAGTTTTAGGTTATTTTCCTGAGCATACACTGTTTCCTTTGTGTTAACTGAAAATATTTAAGGTTAAAGTGTCTAATTAGGAAATAGCACACTTTTTATCTTAAAACACTAATGGTTTTTCTGTTTTGTAAGTCCCACCTATCATGCTCCAGTCTGTAGTCACATATTAGTAAGTTACTTGGCCTTGCCTTGGTGTGGAATCTGATAACATGCAGAAAGCTTCTCAGTTTGTCCTTGCTTCAAATAGAAACTCTTCACTTCACTAAGTAGCTCATAGGAGAACTCATGACCGGGACACAGAGTAAAAATAACTCAACTTTGGTTCTTCCATAAAGCAGTAAATGTGGAATTTATAACTAAGAATTGAGAGGGACAATACAACAAGTAATTATAACACTAATATGCTTTATTTTGATGTTTTGGCCAATTAACTGTAAAGACACAGAATAAAGAAAAAACATAGAAAGGGGAGATGAGGAAAACTCAAAACCATTCCTCTTTGTCCATCTCCTCTTTCCTTCTCTCCGTGTCCTTCCCCACCCAGTGTTACCCATCAGCCATGGACACAGGGATCTACCCTGGGATCCATTCTGTATTCACATGGTATAGTCACCTAAACCTAGCCAAAATTTTAAGAACAAAGAATTAACTGATCTACTGACTCTTTTAAAAGGTTATCGCGTTGTGTGTTTTTGTAGATGGTAGACTTTGCCAGAACTTTAGAAAATATTTTAATTCTTACTTAATGTTGACATTATAAATAGTTTTAAAACCTCTTCTTTTTATATTCTCAACAGAGAAAACGCCTCACTATATTGGGGGATCTCGGGTCTCGTTTCAGAGTCATTTACGTGTTTGATTCTAGACTTGAGCAGAATGACACTTAATTTGGTATCAGGAACACTCCTTCCTATAAATCTTAGATCATTTTTAATATTCATTACTGTGACAGTGAATATTTAGTCTATCCAATGACCTGGGGTTAATCTAACTTTTAAATTACAAACCGACTTTGTGTTAAATGGAACATGGAGTGCTAGATAAATTATTTTTTGAATTCATTCTTCACAGCCATTTCACCTGCTGATGTCAATTATGGAGAAACCCTGAGTACTCTTCGCTATGCAAATAGAGCCAAAAACATCATCAACAAGCCTACCATTAACGAGGACGCCAACGTCAAGCTCATCCGGGAGCTGCGAGCCGAGATAGCCAGACTGAAGGCGCTGCTTGCTCAAGGGAGTCAGGTCGGGTTTTCCTGAGATTTATGGATCATTTTCTTTGAGTAATGGCATCTATTTCTAGATCTTAATGAGACAATTATATCACTTATAGTATTGATTTGAGTAAATAAGTGCTAAGTAAAGCTTTGAATGAGTCAGACAGTCCTTCCTTTCCCTCAGCTGCCTGTTGGCCTTTGCATTCATTATGAACTCTGTGTGTAAGATTTTATCCACTAAACCTCTGAAATGATTAACTATCTAGTATTAGCAATTATGGATGGAAATTTAGTGTGCAATAGGATTAGTGGCATAATCTCCTTTAGTGGGAAGAAATTGAGATGCTTAGAGTAATAGTTAAAATTCTACCCATGCATTGTATGACTTTAAAATGTATCTTTACAGAATGAAAAGACCTGTGTGAACGCTTTTCTGAATCTCTGATTCCTGTCGCTGTTGTAGAGGTGGTTATGGTGGTTCACTGACAGGTGCCACATTAGACCCATGGCCTGGCTGAAGTGCCATCCCTGGGGCCTCACTTGGTTGTTAAAATGGGTTCACTTGAGGGTCAGTTGCTGTTCTTCTGAAGAAACCTTGTCCTTTTGTGTTTTTCACGGTAAACTTCCATACAGTGTACGTGGTGTGCTGGCACAGTGACAGTCTGTGAGTGAAGTTCTGGTGGGCTTAGGGACGGCTGTGAAGAAAGGCCACTGTCGAAAGAAAATCAGGGATGGTTTTTTAAGATGTTGAAGTTAGACTGGAGTTAGAAATAAAATAAAGATACATTTCCTCCTATTAAGCTGTGAATGGATGTGTTGAGTGTATCATGAAAAGAAATACTTTGCTTTAAATGCAAAGTGGTCTCTCCTGCACGGTGCTTTTCAAGTAGGATTTGACATCCCATAAATGGTTTAAGCTATGAAAATGTTCAAACATCACTGGATTTCCTGTGTCCTGAAATCCACCTGTTGGTTCTTCCCCCAAGATGGCAAACTTGGATAGGATGGTTCATTGCACTTGAACACGTCTCCACTGGTGCTTTGCTCAGCGATGTGGAGCTTCCTTGTGGTGGAGGGAGTTTGTCGTGATGTCATCAGGCCCTAACTCACAACACAGACCACAGTAGTCACGTGACCTACACAGTTGGTTATTGGGATCTTTTTTCAGTGTGATGAAACATTATTTATGTAAGATAAGCCTTTGACAATGACAGATAGGACCACTGAAGGTACTGTATGTGAAGGAAAGTGTTTGGAAAATTCTAGTGCAGCTTCTTGTACTTAGCCTTTTACTAGGTTACGAGAATGAAGGGAAAACGAGAGGTTGTCCTTTTTAAATGAAACTGAGGAAATGCTGGAAAGAAGCTTTATTATATGGACAGAAAAACTTTAATTAAAACGTTTGTATATTCTCTCTGAAAAATGCCTTTAGAGGTACTAGTATGCCAAATAGTTGCCTTATACTTTGTGGGGTTTTTTTGTTTGTTTCTTTCATAACCTAAGACCTTTGCTGGACTTAAGGGAGTATTTTTGTTCCTGCTGTTTTGGAGTGAGGATGAAAAAGATAGTTAAGTTTATTTTGGAACACATTGAAGATAAAATTTTTTGATAAACTTAATACATTAAAATATAAAAATGTAAGTCCAACTTAAAGTAATTTATCATACTGTGAAGCTGTAAGTGATGCTTAATAAAAAAGTAGCTGTTCTTAAATGGTCATTAAACATCTCTGTATAATTTTTTCTGAGGACACTGATCTATTCCTAGAATATTCTATTCTAAATGCTACCACGGTTCATTGAGAATGTTATTCAAATCAAAGTTACATTTCTAGGGTTATTTATTTAAGCACAGCTAAATGAAAATCACCTCCTACTTTGCTATTGAAAAATGTCATGTACATTACAGTTTTAAAGGCACAAGTTTTTTGACTTATTTGTTTTTAAGAGACAGGGTTTTGCTTTGTCTCCTAGTCTGGAGTGCAGTGTGCAGTCATAGCTCACTGTAGCCTCAAACTCCTGGGCTCAGGTGATCCTCTTGCCTCAGCCTCCCAAGTAGCTGGGACTACAAACACCTGCCATCACACCTAGATAATTAATTTTTTTTTTTTTTTTTTTTTTTTTTGTCAAGGCAGAGATTCCCTATGTTGCCCAGGCTGGTTTTGTACTCCTGGTCTAAAGCAGTCCTTCTGCTTTGGTCTCCCAAAGTGCTGGGATTACAGACCTAAAAGCACAGTTTTGCTGAGGCAAAAGATTTTGACATGTGTTTGCTTCTTCTCCTATGTAGATATATGTATGTAGTAGCCTATATACTATATGAGCCTTTTATTGAAATGTTACGTGTGTGTAGAAAAATTGCAAGTTAGATGTATACAGTTCAGTGATTTTTCAGAAGCTACATTCACACATCTACCTGCATCCACCTTAAGAGACAGAACATTACCAGCACCATACAGGCCCCACCAATGCCTCTTTCCTCTCAAGAGTGATCAGTTACTGACTTCTAAAGCTATAAATTTGTTTTTAGTTTGCCTGTTCTCATTCATCCTGTAAATGAGTCATTCAGTATCTACTCCATTGAACTCACTTCTTGCAGTTGTCCTTGTGTTTGTGAGGCTTGTCTTTGGTGCTGCCTGCAGCTGCAGTTCCACTTGTTCTCATCACTATTTTTAGGGATTGGGTCTTATTCTTGCTCAGGCTGGTCTCAAACTCCTGAGCTCGGGCAATCCACCTGCCTCTGCCTCCCAGAGTGCTAGGATTACAGGCGTGAGCCCCAGAGCCTGGCCTATGTGTAAACTTCTAAGGTAGTCACTGCATCTCAGTTAAGGGTCACGAAGTAAAAGGCAGTTCTATGGTATTTGAAAGAGTGGGTAAAGGCCTCATTCAGGGGGAAAGAAAGAGGTATTAAAACACTTATGTGAGCTTAAAAAAGACTGCAAGAGTACAGTTCACAACGAAAATCAGGCATGACATCAATTTTCATAAAGAAAACAGGCTTGGTGCCTATGGCTCAACCAGCTAAGGCGCCAGCCACATACACCTGAGTTGGCAGGTTCAAATCCAGCCCGGACCCGCCAAACAACAATGACGGCTGCAACCAAAAAACAGCCGGGCGTTGTGGCGGGCGCCTGTAGTCCCAGCTACTTGGGAGGTGGAGGCAGGAGAATCGCTTGAGCCCAGGAGTTGGAGGTTGCTGTGAGCTGTGATGCCACGGTTCTCTACCCAGGGGGACAGCTTGAGGCTCTGTCTCAAAAAAAAAAAAAGAAAACAAAAAGGCAGCACCTTTGACTCAGTGAGTAGGGCACCGGCCCAATATACCAAGGGTGGCGGGTTCAAAACCCTGCCCCAGCCAAACTGCAACAAAAAATAGCTGGACGTTGTGGTGGGCACCTGTAGTCCCAGCTACTTGGGAGGCTGAGGCTAGGGAATTGCCTAAGCCCAAGAGCTGGTGGTTGCTGTGAGCTGTGATACCACAGCACTCTAAGGAGGGCAACAAAGTGAGTCTCTAAAAAAAAGAAAATAATAAAACTGTTGGAAATTGTAGGAGACCAATAGAGCCACACATACTTGTCACAGAAAATTTTAACTCTTCTCATTCTGTGAGAGCTCAGTTAGACAAAAGACATAGATAGCATATTTATCTAACATAATGCACATTTTCTCCAATCAACATTCACCAAGAAAAGATTGCAAGTCATGAAGCAAAAACTGCTTTCCTTTCTCTGAAAAGAGATTCTATAAAAAAAAAAAAAAAAATAAGAAAAACATCACAACCCAACAGAAAAGTGAACAAAGAATGCGAGCACAACTCATGGAAAAAACAGATTATTCAAATGGTTTCTAAAATGGACAAAAATATGCTCAACATAATTTGAACTACAATTAATGCAAATTGTAAGACAAGTGCAACAAGGTATGTGTGTGTTTGTGTCCACGTATGTAGGTACATGAATACATCAAGTAGTGCACTTGCGTGTTTGGCTGTGTGTAAATTATCTTCAAAGTTCTTAAAAAGCAGGGTGTTCTTGTTCTTTTCCTCATCTGCACGTTTGAGGATCAGAGATCCAAAAGCTCGAAGGGTGGAAGTCGAGAAGTCCTCTCGCACCTTGTCAGTGGAGTTGTTACTATGCTTCTATGACAGTGTTTTTTGAAGTAGTGTTACTCTTGGTTTAACAACATGTGGATTTAATTTGAATATTTTTAAATCCTGAATGTTTCTTCTAAACAGATATCTTGCAAGTAATAATTAGAATTCAAAGTCGTTTACTTTTACCAATGATTTCTTAATTGAAAAAGAATTTAGATTAGTCTTTCTTACATGTGCTCCAGGATAATTTGCAGAGGCTTGTAGTCATAATCACCTTTGTGTATATGTTCAGTCAGTGATTATTTACTGAGCTGATGATCTGGTAGAAATATTTTAGTTTTAATTATGGATGAAAGTCCCAACAATGGGTTCTATAAAATTACCCACATTATAAAGAGCTTTCTAATTGCTCTGAAAATCGTCAACCATATATAAACAATGCAGCCATACTAACATCTGCCACTTTCATTTCTTCAATGAAAAATATTTATTAAGTGCCATCTGTGTGTAAGACAACATGTTAGGTGCAATGATGAATTGTAGTAATGTGTTAACAAAGCTTTCCCTTTACTGAGGATGGATTTGACCTTGGATTGACTTTGTGACTTAAGTCTCTGTAAACAAGGTAAAAGTGGGATGTCAGGTATCTAGTTAAGCATCATCTCTAATGGTAAAAATGAACCCTAATTGGTAAATTGCATCTGGATTAGTATGAACTATATATAAACTATTACATTTTATCTTAGCCAAAAGGCCAAGAAGTGACATATAAACTGTAAATGCCAATTGAGACGCCATAGTTTTGAGTTTCTCTAAGGGCAGCGACTTTTGCAACTGTCCTTGTAATGACTCTAAAGGAGTTTTCCTTATAGGGACCCTAAAGCATGTGCCTATGGCATTGTTAAAAGAGATGCTGGGTCCTATGGGCATGGGCTTCTAAACCAGGTAGACCCCATGTGAATCTCACTCCTCCCATGTGAGAGGTTGCTCATGACAGCTGAAGACAATGGCTCCTGGACACCTCTGATCATGGTATGGACTGTCTTGAGGACCTTGCTCACCAAACAGACATAACTGGGCAGCTCTGCTTTCTGTTAAGTAAATAGATGCCCAGATGCCAAGTGTGACTCATGCTAGTCTTCTTAGTTTGAGTGTTTAACTGAGCCTGAGAAGTGTTTTGTTTGAATAGAAACTAGAAAAGCAAATAGTAATAAAAAATGCTGCAGCCTCTGAGGAAGACAACTTAGCAATTAAAACAAAAATACATATATTGGGCGGCGCCTGTGGCTCAAAGGAGTAGGGCGCCGGCCCCATATGCCGGAGGTGGCAGGTTCAAACCCAGCCTCGGCCAAAAACTGCAAAGCAGAAAAAAAAAATACATATAGATGACTCACAAATTCCCGTTCTGGGTATTTGTTCTATTGATAGAACCATGTATACTAGGCAGTTTGTGTAAGGATAGTTGTTGTAGCATTGTTGATAAAAGGTTAGAAAAACCTACGTTTATGTTAACAGGAGGGTACTAACATGAATCATAGAATATTCGTATAGTAGATAGAGTGAAATTGGAATTGTTAAAAAGAGTGAAGGAGTTTTATTTTTACTGAAGTTTCCCCAAGATATATTGTTGAGTGAAAATGGTAATATTCAGAATAGTGTTTTTTATGCCACTTATGTTTAAAAACACAACAAAAACCTGCTTGTATCTACCAGAATAACTGTAGGTTTATGCAGCCAATTTAGGAACTGTTGTTACCTGTGAGTGAGGTGGAAGGAAGACCCCCTTTCTTTCTTCTTTCTGATGATCTCTGAGGCAGTGGGAGGGAGGGTGGAATAGGGAACACCGTTTTTGCCTGGGCTCAGTGGCAAAAACGACATGAGTGCTTCAGCCTGGTTCCATTTTCCTCTCCTGTGTCTAACTGCTTGTCCCTCCAGCTCTAACCTGACTGTGGTGTTTAACATCCTCACATCAGTCTTTAAATGGATAAGGAACTAGACCTTAAATTGTACTATGGCCACATCATACATGGAATACCATCAGCAGTGAAAACATTTGCTTGTATCAACTTAGATGAATCTCAAAAGCCTACTGTTGACCAAGACATAAGCATTGTCCCTTTTGAATTTTATACTTTACACATTTTCAAAATGGCAAATCCTTGAGATCTAGGGATTTAGAGTGTGTTTGACTTTGGTCAAATGTTAATATGTTGCATCTTCTTTTGCTGACTTCTGTTGCAAATACAGGTTTATCAGGATGCCATGGTTTTGAATATTTTGAGTGTAGCCCGTAATAAAGACTTAGTGATAATCAATACTTTTTTTTGGAAAGGCAGGATCATTACTTTTTACCTTCATCTAATAGTATCTGTGGAAGTTTTTGATAATTTACTGTATTTATGGGAAAACCATTTAGATCATTGCTGTTTATTAACTGTTGACTTCTTTTATGGTTTATTATAGATTGCCCTCTTAGACTCCCCCACAGCTTTAAGTATGGAGGAAAAACTTCAGCAGAATGAAGCAAGAGTAAGTGGTACTTTGACTTTTTATTTTATTAAATCTTAACTTCCACTAGAATTTTAAGTGCATGCCTTTTAAGACTTACTGTTTGAGACCCATTTCCTTTCTTTTTACACTTAGCCTTCCCCACCTCCCCAGCCCTTGACCATTTTTATAGAAGCACAATGGTAGACTTTCCTGTACTTTGTCACATTTTCTGTGATTTAGTGAGTGGGATTTGCCTGGCATACGATGGTTAGTTACAATTAAATTCGCACTCAGACCCTCCTGACAAAGCAGTGAGGCTACCTGGCCATCAGACAGGCCTGGTGGAGGGAGACTGTGTTCAGCATTCCTGAAGCAGCAGTGGTACCTGCAGCTTAATCATGCCCACTGTTAGCTTTGTGTCACCCTTTTACTTTGTTACCATTAGGAAGAACAGCATGTGGCAAATGTCTGATTACTCTAGGGATGTGCTTAATTTATCTTAAACCAGATGAGATTTGAGGCAAAGGGAGTGGGGTGGTGAGTAACCAGAAGAGAGAATTGCTGTGGAGGGTTATAACCTGAAGCCAACCTGTGTGTGCTCCTGCTCTTGGAAAACCAGTTTGAGGCTGACCTGATTCTGTACTTTTTTAAAAAACCTTCTGTGAAAAGAGAAACAGACATTAAGAATAATTTTAGGAGTGATCTTTTTGTTCATGGTGCTGAATGGTTAAAACAGACTGAGAAAAAATTGGATTCTGTTGGTAAAAGCTCTTTTAAGAATGTACAATATGGAAGATAAAAATGCGATTATACTCAGGAACTTGTTGACACATCTCTGCTTTATCATGCTGATTAATACACTGATTATAGCATTAATAAAAACATTAATTTCTTAATCCCTGTTTTTCTTCATGAAGTTTTACATATTAGTGTTTCAGATTCTAATTTTGAAGGCTATAATTTAAGATTAAATCTAGATTGAAGTCTTAAAAATTATTTCTCGGTAATAGTTTTCATGAATACTTAACAAGTTAATATAAAGCAATAAAGATCAATTTGAATGTAATGTACATGCTGTGACAGAAATGACTGCTTATCTTAATGCTAACATTTTCTAAATTTTCATCTAGTTTTTTGCTGACTCTTTTTTAATTGTTTATAATCTGTAATCTGCTTGGTTATAATCTCATCACCTGGTCACTTTATACTGGGAACAATATAACAAGGGGATATTTCAATTCTAAATATTTATGCACCTAAGTGAAAAGCTCCCAGATGTATGAAATGGACCTTAATTGGTCTCAGCAATATGATATCCTATAACACCACAACAGCTGAGGACATTAACAACCCTCTGACAGAACTGGACAGATCCTCTAAACAGAAACTAAAAAAGGTACAGGGGACTTAAATGCGACCCTATAACAATTGGGCTTAATAGACATAAGTATATCCCAAAGCTAAGGAATATATGTTCTTCTCTTCAGCCCATGGAACATAATCCAAAATAGATCATATCCCAGGACACAAATCAAACCTCAACAAAATTAAAGGAATTGAAATAATACCTTTTATCTTCTTAGACCACAAGGCAATAAAACTCCAACAAAAATTTTCATCCCCACACAAAGGCTTGGAAATTAAACAACCTTATGCTGAATGACAGTTTGGTCAAGGAGGAGATAAAGAAGGAAATTATTAAATTCTTCAAGCATAACAACAGCCAAGCTACAGGCTACCCAAATCTGTAAAATATTGCAAAAGTAGTCCTAAGAGGTAAATTTATCATATTAGATGCCTATAACTGACAAACAGAAAGAGAGCATATCTACAACCTATTGAATCATCTTAAGGAAATGAAAAAGGAAGAGCAATCCAATCCCAAACCCAGAAGAAGAAAAGAAATAACCAAAATTAAATCAGAAATAAATGAAATTGAAAACAAAGAATCATTCAGAAAATTAATGAAATAAAAAATTGGTTCTTTGAAACCATATAAAATCGATAAACCTTTGGACAGATTAACTAGAAAAAGAAAAGTCTCTAATAACCTCAATGAGAAACGAAAAAGAAGAAATAACAACAGATGCTACAGAGATACAAGAGATCATCTCTGACCACTCTGACCACTACAAGAAACTGTATGCCCAGAGATTTGACAATGTGGAGGAAATGGACCAATACCTGCAATCATACCTTCTCCCTAGACTTAACCAGGAAGAAATAGATCTCTTGAATAGACTAATACAAAGCACTGAGATTGAAGAAACAATAAAAAAATCTTCCAACAAAAAAAGCTCTGGATGAGATGGTTTATTATTTATTTATTTATTTTTTTGAGACAGAGCCTCAAGCTGTCACCCTGGGTAAAGTGCTGCGGCATCACAGCTCACAGCAAGCTCCAACTCCTGGGCTTAAGCGAGTCTCTTGCCTCAGCCTCCCAAGTAGCTGGGACCACAGGCGCCTGCCACAATGTCCAGCTATTTTTTGGTTGCAGCCATCATTGTTGTTTGGGGGGCCTGGGCTGGATTCAAACCCGCTACCTTAGGTATATGTGTCTGGTGCCTTAGCTACTTGAGCCAGAGGCGCTGAGCCGCCTAGATGATTTCACACCAGAATTCTATCACATCTTCAAAGATGAGCTTATACCTATACTACAGAACCTATTCCAAAACATTGAGAGGGAAGGAACCTTCCCCAACATGTTCTTTGAAGCAAATGGCACCCTGATACCAAAACCAGGAAAGAACTAACTAAAAAACAGAACTGCAGACAAATTTCACTAATGAATATTGGTGCAAAAAAATACTCAATAAAATCTTGCCCAACAGATTACAGCTATACATTAAAAAAATTAAACATCAGTATCAAGTAGGCTTTATTTCAGGGATGCAAGGGTGTTTTTAACGTAATTCGCCATATCAATAGAAGCAAAAATAAAGACCATATAATCCTCTCAATGGATGCAGTAGAAGCATTTGACAAAATTTGACATCCTTTTCTCATAAGAACATTTAAGAATATAGGCATAGGTGGTACATTTCTTAAACTGATTGAAGCCATCATTGACAAACCCACAGCTAATGTCATATTGAATAGAGTAAAACTGAAAGCTTTTCCACTTAGGACTGCAACCAGGAAAGGATGTCCTCCATTGCTACTACTATTCATCATAGTGATGGAAGTTCTAACCAATATAATCAGGTTAAAGGAGGAAATAAAGGGCATCCAAATGGGGGCAGAGGAGGTCAAAGTCTAGGTGTTTGCTGATGATATGATCTTATATTTAGAGAACTCCAGAGACTCAACCATAAGACTCCTGGAAGTGATAAAAAAATATAATTAAGTCTCAGGGTGTAAAATCAGTGTTCAGAAATCAGTAGCCTTTCTATATGCCAATAACAGCCAAGATAAGAAGGTAATCAAGGACACAATTCCCTTCACAGTAGCCTCAACAAATAAAAAAAAAATACCTAGGAATATACCTAACAGAAGAGGTGATAGACCTCTGCAAAGAGAGTTATGAAACCCCAAGAAAAGAAATAGCCGAAGACATTAGCAAATGGAAGAACATACTATGCTCTTGGCTAGGCAGAATCAACATTGTTAAAATGTCTATACACCCCAAAGCAATCTACAGATTCAATGCAATCCCCATTAAAATACCATTATCATACTTTAAAGATTTGGCAAATTTTTTTTGGTTTGGAACCAGAAAAAATCTTATATAGCTAAGGTAATTTTTAGTAATGAAAACAAAGCCAGAGGCATCACTCTACCAGACTTTAGGTTATATTATAAGTCCACAGTGATAAAAATAGCATGGTATTGCCACAAAAAAAATAGAGACATGGACATGTGGAACAGGATGGAAAACTAAGAGATGAAACTAGTCTCTAGTTTTAGTTTGATAAACAAAAGATACAGTAGGGAGAAGAATCCCTATTCAATAAATGGTTTTGAAAGAGAACTAGATAACTACATGTAAAAGACTGAAAGACTGGACCCACACCTTTCACCATTTAGCAACAGTTGACTCAAGATGGATAAAAGATTTAAATATAAAAAATATTGACCTGAAATGATAAAAATCCTAGAAGAAAGTATGGGAAAAACTCTAGAGGATGTTGGCAATTGCAACAACAAAAATAAACAAATGGGACTTAATTAAACTGAAAAGTTTCTGCACAGCTAAGGACACAACAAGTAAAGCAAATAGATAATATTTAGAAAGGGAAAAAATATTTGCATGTTACAAATCTGACAAAGGTTTGATAACTAGGGTCTATAGAGAACTCAAATTAATCAACAAAAAAGAGCAAATGATCCCATCTGTCACTGGGCAAGAGTCATGAACCTTCTAAAATGCTCATTGTCCCTAATCATCAGAGAAATGTAAATCAAAACCAGCCTGAGATATCACCAACCCCAGTGAGAATAGCCCACATCACAAAGTCCCAAAGTTGCAGAGGCTAGTGCAGATGTGGAAAGATGGGAACCCTTTTATAGTGTTGGTGGGACTGCAAACTAATATGGCCTCTTTCAAAAGAGGAATAGAGAGTCTCCAAAAGACTCAAATTAGACCTCCCATTTGACCCCGCAATCCCATTACTAGGCATCTACCCAAAAGAAAAAAATTCATTCTGTCATAAAGACATTTGTACTAGATTGTTTATCACAGTTCAGTTTACAATTGCCAAGATGTGGAAGCAATCTAAATGCCTATCAACCCAGGAATGAGTTAACAAACTGTGGTGTATGTATACCATGGAATACTATGCAGCCCCACAAAGATGGAGACTTTACATCTTTTGTATTAACTTGGATGGAGTTGAAACACATTCTCCTTAGTGAAGTATCATAAGAATAGAAAACCATATATCCAAGGTACTCAATGCTAATATGAAGCCAGTAGATGATCTAATATAGCTGTTCTCAACCTATGGGTTGTGACCCCTTTTTAACAATGAAAATACATTGTGGCATTAGGAAGGGAACCTTCCTAATGTATTAGATTCTAATACATGCCCACAGAGGAGAAAAACTCAATTCAATTCAAGTTAGGGGAAGGGGGAATTGAGGGAGGGGGGAAAAGATAGGAGGGGAGGGGATTGGGGTTCTCCCACTTTATGGGCACAATGTCAGGTTATATGGCACATCTTTTGGGTGTGGGACACAGCTACAAGAGGGACTCTACCCAACAAATGCAAATATTGTAACCTAGTTGTTTATACCCTCACATTAACCTGGATATAAATAATTAAACAAACAAATCACCTGATGACATTGTTAGAGGTGATATCACCTGATTATTTGACTTAAATGCAATGTAAAATAAATCTAAGGCATACTTACAATTTTTTAAAGCTCGAATTATTTGATTTAATTTGAAAGTATTGATGTGCTCACATTCTTCAGTGAGAACATAGTAGTTGGTAAAATGCAGAATCATTTGTTGTTTTATGCTTTGTTCTCTAAGATTAATTGCCAATGAGAAACTATTAACTGGTTAGTATAAATTACTAAATTCAATATGCTAGTCTTTTTCCCCTTCTGTAGGGAGAGAAGGCATAAGAATATTTCTTCTCTGAAAAAATTTTCAAAGCAAAAAGCCCTGAAAGCCGTCTGACTTTTACTGCTGTCAGGAGTCTGTGGGGTTGGTGTCACTCAAACGGTGAAATGAAATATTGGGATATAGGACTGGTTTCAGAGAAATCAGGATAGCTTGTCTTAGCATACTATTTAAAATAGGCAAAAAACAAACTTAGGTTCTTTCAGTTTTTTTTTTTTTTTTTTTTCATCAGGAAGATGATAGATTTTGGCCTAGTGAAAGAAGTGACATTTTAAAAAATAATTTACTTTAGAATTCTCAGTCTTCATTTGAGGTCAATTTAGGAGTAGAAAGTAAATTGAGGAGCAAAGTGAATGGCCATTGAATGATTGAATGTAAATGGCTGAGAGATGTCCTGGTTTTCCTCTTTGATAAACTATCAATCTAGAACCTCCATTTCTCATCAATATCAAATGTTTTTTTCCACTAGTTTGCTGACTTAAATACCCTTTCCTATTACTACATTGAGCAGCAAGTACAAGCAGATGGTGTTGGTGCATGGGCTTTGGCCTGTTGAGCTAGGGAACTGACTGGTGGCACTACCAGTAGGCTTAAGTGGGATGGTGTTGAGAGAGTGAGAAGGTGGCGGGAGTGGTGAAGGTGAAGAAGGGAAAAGGTTTGGAAGGGATAAGTTCACTCCTTTCATCAGTAACTCTCTTTTAGCCCTAGGTATATTCTTTTACACAGTATACATTTTTTCATTCTTTTTTTCTCTGTTTCAATTGAAGTATCACTTTTTGCTTCTTAGTGAATTAATCAGTAGGATCATTGAAAAAATTTTAGGAAACTAGCAGAATATTTCCATCAACTTTTAAAGGCAACTTTCAACTGTGCTATGTTCAATGGTTGAGGATATTTTCTCCTCTAAGGTAGAGCAGACTGGAAAGAACTGATTTTTTTTTTTTTTTTGAGACAGAGTCTCACTTTGTAGCCCTTAGTTGGGGGGCTGTGATGTCTTAGCTCACAGCAACCTCAACTTCTTGGGCTCAAGTGATTCTCTTGTCTCAGCCTCCTGAGTAGCTGGGACTACAGGCACCTGCCACAATGCTCGGCTATTTTTAGAGGCAGGGTCTCGCTCTTGCTCAGACTGGTCTCAAACCCATGAGCTAAGGCAATCCACCTGCCTCGGTCTCCCAGAGTGCTAGGATTATAGGGGTGAGCCACCATGTCCGGCTAAAAAGAAGTGATTTTTATCAGGACTTTTGCTTTTACTAAAAGAGTCAATTAAAGAAACACCTTTTTAAAAAAAAGTAGAAAAAGATTTATAAACCCTATTAATTAGCTACAAAAGCAAATTATCTCCTAAAAAAAAAACCAAAACCCTGCAGCATCCAAGGTGATTTAGTCACCACATCTAATTAGAAAGAAAAATGAATCACTATTTCTTATGATCTAAAGTGTAGTCAGGAAAAACTAACTCATTTAATGGGGTGTTAAAATCCTTGAACTTAGAATTTTGGTTAGTAATCCAAGGAAGCAGCTTTTATTTAAATACATCATATTAAAAACTTAAGTAAAATTCTAAGCTAATTGACAAATTCTAGGCTTATAGGATGAGATGAACTTACTGGATTTATATTTGGTGACAGTTCTTTCAGATGTAGAAATTGCTATCTAATTAAAATTATAGTGCATCTTTTCATGAGCAAATTAGAATTTGGAAACTTTCTAGAAGAAAATCATGAGGTTTTTTATGGTTTAGTTATATATGTTTATTTTTCTTTTTTAGGTTCAGGAATTGACCAAGGAATGGACAAATAAGTGGAATGAAACCCAAAATATTTTGAAAGTAAGGAATATAAAAAGGTGTTTGGTTAATATACTGGATTAAATGGGTAAACCTCCTTTTTGCTCCTCAGACATGACAATTGTGTGGTTTGCATAAGGTAAGACCAGTGGGGCAGTCGGTGTTCTCGTGGGATGGGGATCAGACGGGCAGTTAGTGACTCTCGTGGGACGGGGATCAGTGGGGCAGTCGGTGACTCTCGTGGGATGGGGATCAGAGGGGCAGTTAGTGACTCTCGTGAG